GGCAATCCTACTTCCGTAGTGATACTGCCTCGGAAACCCAAGGAGGGGTCGCTATGAGTCGGGGCCGACTCGACGGTAAATAACAACAACAACAACAACAAATCTTAATGGAAGTACATTGTTCCATCTTCCTTCCATGGAGCAGCTGGTGGGTTTAAACAACCAACCTCCTGGTTAGCAGTTAAATGCATTAGGCACTGTGCCACCAGTGCTCCTATTATATGAAGATAATACTCTGGGTAAATGAGCCATCCTCCAGGACACAGTCCACACCCTACAGCAACAACCATACGACAGTAATGTGAGGGTATTAAGGAAGTAAGATTGAGCAGAGGTGGAACTGCACTGTGATGCAGTCATAAAGGCCTCAAATTATACCATAGGGAGCTCTAGGGCCAGGAAAGCCCTTCAAATTTGGCCCACTCTGAGGCAAAAGGGTCACATCTCTATACCCTATATTAGTGTAGGTGCAGATTGCTCTAGGGTAAAGGTATGACCGTGATAGTGGGCATTTCCCTGAAAGCAACCTAGCTGATTGCTCTCAGCTGCCAGAACGCCCAAGTGAAATGGGAACTACTGAAGGGGGAATTTGGGCAGTATACTACAGTGTCCACTACAGTCTACCTCTTTGTACTACTTCATCCCACTTTCTTCATATAACAGGTTCAGGGACCAACTCTTCAAGGATTATGATTAGTCCTGGAATCTACAAAAAGAAAGAAGCTAGCCGTTGCAACTGGTCTTGGGGCCTCAACTGGTAATTGTGGTCTCCCTCTTCTGAGCACTTTGTTGGTCCCTCCATTGTTTTTACTGGGGAGAGTGCATAGGTGGGGAGTGGCAGGGTCATCTCAGAATGGGGTCCCTGATCTAAAACCACAAACCCACCATCAATTGCAATAAGTTCCTGTAGCATGCAATGTTCCCCTAGCAATTCACTTGAGCATTTTAATCCAATGCAGTAATTGAAAACTGTTACCAGGCAACCTGAAAGGAGCTGGTAATGTAAGGTTGGGAGAGGTTGGCCTGGGATTATGTGGCAGGGTCATGTCAGGGTCTGTACCCTGATGACTTCTTCACCAGATTCTTCACCATCATTCACCTCATTGGTTCTAATGTCAGACCCAGAGCCTTCCACAAAGATTCATAATACTTGAGAATCTTGGGGACAATGTATTGATAATGAGATTTAAATTTAACTTGGATCCAAGTGGCTTCCTCCCTGTTCTAGTTTGTCTGTTGTTGTTGTTGTTGTTATGTGCCGTCGAGTTGGACCCGACTCATAGCGACCCCTCCTTGAGTTTCCGAGGCAGTATCACTACAGAAGTAGATTGCCCCATCTTCCTTCTGAGGAGTGGCTGGTGGGTTTGAA